GCTAGAGCCCCAGAACCTAGTTACAGGTGGTTTAGAGCAGGTGTGGGCAATGGAAACCAACCTGTGTTCTCTACAGACACAGTAAGTGCCCGTAATTTCTGAGCCATCTCTCCAGGTATACGTTGCTCATTTCTTTCCATTTTATTCTATTCATTTTTGACCAATGCTATCTGTATACATTTATGGGTACAACTAGCTTCTATTATGATGTACACATCACAGAATGATTGAAATTATTTAATTTCCATATCTTAGATATCACATTTTGATTTTTTGAATCCCAGAGCTCTGTGGTCCACTCTGACTAAAGCTAAGGTTTTTTTCGTTTTAGTTTTCCAATCTATAGATTTAAATGCTTGCTATTTATTGTGCTGAATAGGTAGATCTATGACTTCCAGGATTTTCAGGGTTGATAAGGGGTATGTTTGACAAATCAAAGCTTTTCTTTTTTCTAGAGATCTGTGGTGTTGGAAACGCATGCTCTCAGTTCTTCTCTCTGGATCTATCATGGCAAAGGGACCAGAAATAGGAGCTTTATACTGTGGGAAACTACATCTGAATTTCAATGCCCTGTTTACTATGACATTTCAGACAGAACAGAGTACAGCTTCTCCATACCCGCTCCTAACCAGAAGACTATATTAATAGACTAATTATAGTGTTGGTGAATTAAAATAATGGTCTACAAACCTCAATCATGTGTAGAATAATAGGATTTAACGTATTTCAGGTAGTACTAGTGTGGTAGACTTTTTTTCTTGTAAATATTTTATATATCTTCTATTTCCAACCTCTTGACACTCAATTAAGTTAAGTACATGGTTGTTTCTGTATTACAGAGTTGATTGATTTTCTTGATGTCAATATTATTATATGGTAGAACTATGACTGGATGTTGAAGTCCTGTTTTGAAAATAAGTGGTTTTTCTTAATACTCTACAATGAATGTACATAAATTGTTAAAAATGTTAAGACTTTAGTATGATTGTGTGTTCCATCCATGGTCACACACTTTTGTGAGGATTATAAACTGTGACTTACCACAATTAAAGTTGAAATGGGCCTTAAGTGACAGACATAGACTGGACAGAATGCATTACTTTTGAGATGGGATGTGACCGTGTTGCCCTGGTTGGTCTTGAATGTCTAGATTTAAGATGTCTTCCTGAGGCAAGCTCCTGAATAATATTCTTCAATAATATTCTGGTCAACTGTGCTTAAGTAAAAGAATGTCCTTCTCTATTCCAGAGGAAGTTCTAATTTTCACTTCATTCTTGCAAATGTATTCCTTAAGTTCCCCTTACCTGTTCATTGACCCTTTTGAAGAAGATGGCAAGGGTGAAGACAGCACCAATAGGAGGCCCAATGTAGCTAGCAAATGAGGAAATATAGTGGAAGAGCTGTCCATTCTGTGACGCCTGGACCAGTGGGACCCACAGGATGCTGATGACAATCAGAATGATGCCAAATACCCTGCCAGAAAAACATCATGATTTAAACCTTAAACAAAAGCAGTATGCCCAGCTCCACAGTTCCTGATATCTTCTGCATTTCCATTGGATTTCCAAGGAAAGGCAAGCTGCTTGACCTTGCATGAACCCATGTGACGCCTGAAGAATATCAGGTAGTAAAAAAGTCAATGAATAAACTTCTCAAAATTAGCTGTAATTTTTTTTATTCATGAGATTAGCTATGTATTCATGAAATCAACTCAAATTGTAGCAATTGATGAGTACTTTTAAAGGAATGCATAAATTATAAACAAACCTTAAACTACTTCTATCCATCACTAATAATTTATATGGTAAATATGGAAGATTTGTCCTTTTCCTTTTTTCCAGGTTGAGGGCAACTGAGTCAGTTTACAGATACTAGAATGAAAATATCAAATACTTCAAATGTTGTGTGGTGTGGTAAGAAATGGGAATGTACCCTTCCTAACTTGAGTATTTTATCAGCTAAAATGAATTTGTTGAAATACTGTTAGGAGGTAAAAAGGTATCAGAGGTAGCTGTGGTCCATGGGAGACGAGTTGCTATTTGACACCCAGAGTCTTAAATGATTGTGAACAAGCAATTTACTAATTGTTGTGATTTCCTGAGAAAATGTGGTGGCGATAGGGGTGTGTGTGTGTGGATGTGTCACCGAAAGACTGTCAATGGACAAGTGTTTCAGCTTTATAAACTGCTCTAATCTCACAAGTATTGGGAAATCCAAACAGTCTCAGTGTGATGCCTCAAGGACTAGATTTGACCGCCCAACCTACCGCACATTGTTATCATTTGAAAAATAACTCACACCCTCTGCCTCTCCCTCTGCCTTGGTGCCTTCTGTCACATGTCCAAAACAATGAAATTTCCTGTTGTAAGTAAATGAGCCTGCTTCACTCCTCCTGGCTATCCCAGTAAGCTGGTGTTGTCTCCTCTGCCCTAATATGACTGTCTTGTTGACTAAAGTACTGCATCCTACTCATTCACTCTGTACAAGCAGATGCCCAGCAGAAGACAGATGCACACAGGGACCTGAAAGTATCTGGAAATTGATCCTGGGTAATGGAAATGTGACCCACTAGTAAGGTGATCCCATACTAGTGGGTCACATGAAGCTCATGGCAAACAGGAGGATAACAAGTAGCAAGATAGGAAAATGATTTGAATATTAAATAAAAACATAGATTCATGAATGCTGATCCTACCAGAAGAATAGATTCATTATTGTTCTTCCCCAGAAAGCCAAGGGACTGCACACTACACCCATTTCAAACCACTTTAGGTAACTGTATACTTTGATACATCTTTTTATACTGTTCTGAATTTATTCCCAGAACTTATGGCTGTAGGATAAAGAATGTAGTTGTTAATTATTTATTTCCCGCACAAAATCATAAATTTCATTAAGAAATTTAAAAAATCAATTGTTCTTTTTTCATATCTTTGTTATGAGAAAGTGTAAGCAGCATAGGTGGAAATCTTATTAACATAATGGCTGAAATGTTAACAGCATTTATGCCTATGAATTTGTGGGGTCTCCTTTCTCCCCAGGGGTCATTGGCCACTGGATGGCCAGTGAGGACAAAGGGAACAGAGGTAGAGCATAGGGTGGACCAGACGGACACAGAGACCACTGAAATGAGATAAACCTACCCTTCCAGGAGTAGGGTACATATGGGCTTCTAGGGGTATGGGTGGATAGAGCTAATTGGTCATAATACAGTTCCCAATTACCATGTGGAAGGAAGCCAGAGCCGGACTTATGTGCTGAGTTATGCAGCAATCCACAAGGTCAGTCTTCAGATAAGACCAGACACCTGTCTGTGTTCAGGGATGCTCTCCAAAGAAAGTCAGACAGAGAGATGGAAGCTCTGCTGAGACAGGGGGTGCTTCATTCTGCACCAAACTCAGAGAGCCATCCATCCGGTCATGGGAGACTTAGACCTTAATAACAGTGTTCTCCAACATGAGTTTTTACTGGAACTACTCCATCCTGAGCCTCATGAAATCCAGGTCACCAAGAAACTCAGGCCTTATTTCTCTGTCTCTCTGTCTGTTGTCAGTAGTCATCATTGGAGAAGCTTATAACTAGCAGATGATCTTCCTGAGATGACTTCGCTTTAGATTATACCTATGACGAAGCTCCGACAGGCAAAGCCCAGGAGAAAATCATTTTAGGAAAGATTCCTGCTATTAATATGCATTTCCTGTTGTTATTATTAAACATATATGACAATCACTAGTTATTAGCCCACCCCTTTTGAGCAGATCTCTGCAGGTCTCAGAGGATGTTCTGTCTTGTAGTGATGCTATATAGACAAATAGATGACTTCTTAATTCTTAATAATGATCCTATAAAAATTCCTAAAATTATATCAGTGATTATTAAGCTCTTTTATAGTGAGACTGCTATTATTTCATTTTCTGATAGTCAAAACTGCCATGAGAACTCTGTCAGTCTCCCATGTGTCACCTCTTAGACAGTAACCAGACTTTCTCCTACTCAGAGCACATTCCAAGAGGCTGTAAAACAATTAACCAAAGGTCGTAAAAAGGGAACTAACGATTTATTATAGGTGATAGGACAAAAGATAAAATATTAACTGGGTTTATCTATACAAAACTTCACTAATAACTTAGTTATGGTTTTTAACTTTCAGTGAACTTGTGGAGCTGTGACAGGTGATGGATTTTTAGCCAGATAATTACTCCTAAGGGGTATGTATGTTAACATTGTCTGTTGTAAACTTCTATTTCAATTTATGATTTGATATTTATGTGTGAACTTGTGATGAACTTTTTGACATGTGATCATATATTCTGAAAGATGTATACTGAGGACAAAGAAACAAGAGGATTTTTTCCCTTGTCACACTTAGGATCTTTCTGCTTTCCCCTTTTCTTAGATAGCCTTCATAGAAAACTTTTTATAACTTAGTAGTAGACACTAGAATCACTTTTCAAAGTGTCCCTTTCTCTTCCTGTGACTTCTGACTAGCAGGCTGAAAGTTCCTGCTGAGATAGAACAAAGGCCACATTGCCTAATCCTCAGCTGTTAGGCTACAGGTGTTAATCACCTAAGCCAACAGCTGTCTACCCTCAGAAAGAGCAAATACGTTTTTAGGACTTTCCAGAATTTATCCTCAGCATTTCAGTATAGTTAGAGAGCTAGGATGGCTGGAGACCCTCAGACTTTAAAGCCACACCAGATTCCTAATCTGTGCCCTGTCTCTACCCTCTCCAGGCTGGGAGACTCCTGGAAGTCTGTCTCTCTCTCTGTCTGTCTCTCTAACTCTCTGTCCCTCTCTGTCTCTGTCTCTCTGTCTCTCTGTCTCTCTGTCTCTCTCTCTCTCTCTCTCTCTCTCTCTCTCTCTCTCTCTCACTTCATTTGTAAAGAGTCAAAATCTGGAACTACGAACATTTTCCAGTTTGTATGCCAGGTGGGTAATGTGTTGATTATTGTTGCTATTGCCGCAAAAGCACACTATTTACACTCACTCTCTTTCCCTTGCAGCCAACGTGGATGTAAACTTGGTAAAGCTCTTCTAAAGTGCTCTCCATAGATATTACACTTTTTGCGAGGTGGAGAGTCTCTACCTCTGAAAAACTGAGCACCACCCCAGGTTTCCTCCATATTCAATCTACAGAGAATGAGATTTCAGATTCCTGATGGCTTCAGAACAAACCTCACCTGCCAACCCACACAGAGAGAGGGATCTGTTTTTACCATATGAGGCCCACATGGGTATACATTATAAAGGAAAAATGATATGCCTGCTATTTTGTCAGTTCATTCAGAGTTACTCTTACCGTTGATTTTTGCAAAAGTCATAATGCCTTTTCTTTTAAAATCACTTCTCATATTTCTTTTTAATTGAGACTACCAAATATTCTTTAATATTAATTAAAATGAAATGCATGCACACATACACAAACACACATACACATACACCCTCCAATATCCTTGATAGAATTACATGTTCATGTAAGCTAACAGATATAAACACTCTAATCAGATGCCCATGAACAGTAAATTCTAATATATTCCTATGGATACACACACACACACACACACATATATATATGTATATATATGTCTGTGTGTTTGTGTATAAGTAAAAATATGCATTTATATAAGTACAAATATATCTATCTATCTATCTATCTATCTATCTATCTATCTATCTATCCATTCAGTGATTAAATGAATAAACTATCCTAGAACAATGCAACATGACTGGTCATGTAAGAATTAGAAATCCCTCTGTGTTATTCTGCTTATCATATCTTAACCTGGGAAGGTTTGAACTGCCTGTTGCACTACCAATGGCAGTTGTTAGCTCAGGAAATATGGAATCCAAGATGAGGTTTGGGAGTCATAGTAATTTCTACTTCTTGAAAAAAATTATGGTTATAGGAGTGTTCAATTTTTTAAAAAGATTTTATTTATTCTATGTGTACGAGTGCTCTATCTGCATATACACTTATATACCAGAGGAAAGCATCCGATCATACTGTAGATGCTTGTGAGCCACCATGTGGTTGCTGAGAATTGAACTCAGGACCTCTGGAAAAGCAGCCAGTGTTCTTAGCCTCTGAACCATCTCTCCAACCCCGAGTGTTCCGTTTTCCCAAACAGAACTTAGCCATTTATTTATGTTTCATGTTATCCCTCTATGTTCTACACTTTAATTTTTAAAGCATTGTACAAAATGGCAGATAGAGTTTGCCTGAAAATGAAGTGAAGAACAGGACACCATGCTGGCTACTATCTCTTGTTTCCTTCCATCTCACCATCTTCAAGGCCCCCAGTCTGCCCAGGATCACCTAACTCTCCAGGCAGTCTCCTAGACTTTGTCTCTTCTTGAGGATCTGCCTCTGTCTAGAATAGTTCAATCTTTAGTGAATGCAGTTGTTCAACTTTTCTGTGTAACATGGACGAGGTAACTGACTGTTTTAGTACGTTACTCACAGAAACTGTTAAAGGAAAGACATTCAGCTATCAGACTTACAGTGTGAGGTATGGCCCATTAAACACAGACTGATGGTGATGGTGTAGGATAAGGGGAAGGGATGAATAACAATAACAATCAGACAGTGGGAGTCTGAAAAACTAAAAACTACTTTGTTTAAAGCTATAGCTATAATTTTTGGGTTTGTGAAGAGAAAGGTCAAGTTGAATATCTCTTAATGATTCTTCCCCATTGTAGAAGTACATTTTTAGTTTCCCTGAATCTAAAGATAATGCCTCTATAATGCCTGTCTCTAGCCCCCTCCTCAGAGAGGTTCTAGGCAGAGACCAGGTTTCCTCACCGTCCGGCTATCATGAGCTCTCTCTCTGACGCCTTCTTCCTTATCTTGGCGTACAGGTCCATGGTGAAGAGGGTGCTGGCACTGTTGAAGATGGAAGTCAGGGAGCTCATGAGAGAAGCCAACATGACCGACAGCATCAGGCCTCGTAGTCCTGGGTCAGGAGGAGCAAGCTCTGGTTAGATTGGATGTCATGGCTTATGAGTGATCTACATCAAAGAGCCAATCAAGGATAAAACACTCAATTACAGAGTTATTACCTAATTCAACTATCAGTGTACATCATGGCTGAATTTTTCTTGGAGCTTCAACCAGTGAATACATCATTATACTATAGAACAAGGTTTAATGAAATACATTGTATTTGAATGTAAAAGATGTGGTAGTGAAATCCTTGTCTTTTAATCTGGGAGTTTAATTTTAAAAATATGAAGCTATAATGTGTCTGGTTAGCTTCTATGGCTTAAAATGAGCTTAAGAAATGTAACTATCTGGATTTATAATGCAAACATTTTCTGAGGTTGTTCCTCTGGTTCACCTTATTATTAGCTTAAGAGCTAAATATTATTTAAAAGTCACATTTTGGGAACTTTGTAAGAGAAGGAAGAACCTGGTACCATCCTTCGTTGGAGAAGAAACTCTTGGCTTTGTGAACACTTTGAGAATCACAGAACTAGAGTCCTGGAAGATGATACTGTTGAGAAAACTTTATGGACAAAGCTGAAAGATTTAATCATTGTGAGAGCTTCACACTTCTGCTCCTAACCCCTGTTAGTGATGGCTCCAGGCCTTCCAGTACAGTGTAAGATGGCATGCATTCTACCTTGAGTTTGTGGGTTCCTTAATTTTGAATGACCTTGTGTATATCAAGGAGGAGAATTGGCACAGAAGTGTCCACCAAGACCCCAGACCACTTAGACTTTTCAGCTCTGTATGTGCTCTGTGTATGGTCCCCACAGCAATGATCAATTTCTGAAATTCTAATAATCAGGACTTCACAGATAAAGCTTGTTATCTAGACTGTAAAGCTACAGTGAGTTTTCAGGTGTAGGGTAATCATGCTCACTTTGCTGGTAAATAGTAAGAGCCAAAGAAACACATGAGAAGTGATGTATCCTTAGATACAAAGCATGCACATTGAGATAGTATTCTGAAGTCAAGGTAACAGTTAACTTCGAGTCTTCCAGGTTTGTGCATTTGTAGCATTACAACTTCTTCATTGGCTAACAAGTCATTTCAATGTTAACTGAGCCAGAAGACAGCGTTCACCCTAAGCAGTGTTCTTCTAACAGAAATTATCTCCTCTCTGCTACCTCCAGACCCAGCCATCACATGACTGGTAGACTTGTGACTGATTCTCAAGAACTATCTGATGAGTAGGACTGAATTAATGGAAGGATTGCCAGAGAGTCTTCCCCAGTAGATCCCCCATGTCCCTCACATCCCTCTAGACATGCTATGAATGTTTACCAACCATCAGGCATCAGCTCCAGGACCAGGGTGGGGTAAGCATAGTTGGTACAGCCGGCCGAAGTGCCACACTGTTTCACACACTCGGAAGGCACAACACAGGCCACCTTATCTAAGGGAAGACACAGTTCATTGGTCAGGACCCAACTAGGTACAATCTGCAAGCAGGGAACAGAGGGAAGACACAAGGTCATAGATGGCAGAAGCTATATTCGCCTAGAAATTGGATGCCAAGCTTGGAACTTGATACACTTATGCCTAGTTGGGAAAACACAGTGAATGTTGTGTGATGGGGTTAACACTAGAAATGTGTCTTCCATTCCTCAGAAACGATTGGCCTAGTCTCCTTACCTTTCCTAACCAAGAAAAAAAAAAAAAGTAATTCCTCAAGAAAAAAAAATAATCGATAGTAAATTATCCTCATCTGACTCAGAAATTAATTTTCCCCAAACATTGATAATTGATTCAGTTTTGAAGTTCTCTCAGAGACCAAGATGTGCGTGTGTGCCTCCAAGACGTCTCTGTGGTGGTTGGAATATGCTTGGCCTAGGAGTGGCACTATGAGGAAGTGTAGCCTTGTTGGAGTCTATGTAGCCTTGCTGGAGTGTGTGTGGGCTTGCTGGAGTGGGTGTGACCTTGTTGGAGGAAGCATGTCACTGTGGGGGAAGACTTTGTGACCCTCCTAGCTGCCTGAAAGACAAGATGGAACAAGATGTAGAATTCTCATCACCTTCTCCAGCACTATGTCTGGCAGGACACTGCCATGCTTCCTGCCTTGATAATAATGGACTGAACCTCTGAACCTGTAAGCCAGCCCCAAATAATGTTATTAGAGTTGCCTTAATCATGGTGTCTGTTCAAAGCAGTAAAACCCTAACTAAGACAGAAGTTGGTACCAAGGACTGGGGTATTGCTGTGCTAGCCCTGACTATGCTTTTGTTTGGAGTAATGTAGATTTTAGGACTTTGGATTGGAAAGCATTGAAATGCTTTAAGTGGGACTTAATGGGCCATCCTAGTAGGAATATGGAAGGCATTCATTGGTGTGGAGGGTGATTTGAACTCTGGAGATTGTTCTTATGATGTTTTGGTGAAGCTTCTTGCTTCCATGTGCCTTGTAGGGAAGGAAATCATCCTTTTTTTTGTTTGTTTGTTTTTCTAGATGGGGTTTCTCTGTGTAGCCCTGGCTGTCCTGGAACTCACTCTGTAGACCAGGCTGGCCTTGAACTCAGAAATCCGCCTGCCTCTGCCTCCCAAGTGCTGGGATTAAAGGTGTTCGCCACCACTGCCAGGCTAAAATCATCCTTTAAGAAGTGTTAGAAGCCTTGACTTCAGCTAGGAGGAGGGCCTCAAAGCCCACTCCCACAGTGACACACTTCCTCCTTCAAGGCCACACCTACTCTAACAAGGCCACAATTCCCAATAGTGCCACTCCCTGGGCCAAGCATGTTCAAACCACCACAGTCAGCTATCACATCCTTGCTCAGTTCCACTTTATCACCCAGGAAACTTCTGGACTATCTTACATCAAATCCACTCACAGAACAGAATGCACAGTTTCAGAAGTCTGCAAGGAAACTGGCAGCATGTACAAAAGTGATAAAGAAGAGTGCCAAATCTGCTGAATGTTCTCCTTCAGACCCTTTTCTCAGATTTGCCTCCCTCTGTTGGAGATTGATTCCAATGCTTTGAGTTAATCAGGCCCGAAAGATCAGGAATCTGTGTTTCCAAATGTTAAAAGTCCTTATCCCCAATTGGTTTTTGATTGATCAATAAAGAGCCAACAGCTAATGGCTGGGCAGGTAGACCTTTAGATTTATATGGGCTAGGAACTAGGAGATAGAAAGAGAAGGATATCACCATGATTCGGGGGAAGAAGAATGGGACTTAAGTCCTTCAGGAGAGACAGCCAACTAGCCATGTAAGAATTCAGATAAGTGGCCACAGGCCAGTTCCCTGATTAGGTCTAGGGTAGCATGGGAAGGTTTAGGAGTCTCAGGGATACTAGAGGGGAGCATTTGCAAGCCAGGGAAGATTTAGGAGTGCCCAGCATTTGCGATCTTCAGGGCATGTCAAAAATTACCTGGTGTGTGTGTGTGTGTGTGTGTGTGTGTGTGTGTGTGTGTGTGTTTTATTTGAAAATCCAGAGGGCTGTAGCAGGTAGGTGAGAATGTGGCCTCCAGGAACACAAATCGATCTAGCTAAAATTACCAGTACATCTGTCCATCTCTCCTTCTAACCTATGAAAATTTTTTCTATCTAGAAAACCACAGACATCAAGTATACAAAAAAAGATTCATATATCCATGGCTTGCCTGTGTACAGAATGCGGCTGATCATGCCTGGCATCACCATGAGGAACATGGGGAGCAGCTTCAGGTAGCCACACATGATGCAGGCAGCCTTCACGTGGGACATGTTCTTGCCACATAAGCAGCGCTGTACAACGACCTGCCAGGCAAACAGGATATTAGTGCAACAATCTGCTAGTGAGTTTGAGGAGGGTGAGAATACACTTTCAAGGCTTCATATTATATATAATAAGAAATCAAATAGTTAGGGCTGAAGACATGGCTCAGCAGATGAAAAGCTCTTTTTTGTTTGGTTGGTTTTTTGAGACAGGGTTTCTCTGTATAGTCCTGGCTGTCCTGGAACTCACTCTGTAGACCAGGCTGGCCTCGAACTCAGAAATCCGCCTGCCTCTGCCTCCCAAGTGCTGGGGTTAAAGGTGTGCGCCACCACTGCCCAGCTGAAAAGCTCTTGATATTGTTCATGCAGAGGACCAGGGTTCAGTTTCCAGCATAATTCCAGTTTTGGATGAATCTAATCCTATCTTTTGACCTCCATGGACACTAAGCACACAGATTGTGCACATACTTACCTGCAGACAAAACACTCATGTGTATAGAATGCAATTAAATTAAAAATTCATTTATAAAAGTTATGGTTAGTGGAATCCAGTGGACTTTATAGCAGCATCAGGATCTGTATTACTATTTAATTTACCTCTGTACATCTCCTGTGTCTCATCCTTAAAGTAGAAATATCTCTTGTAGGATATTCTCAACATTTCATATAAAGTACACATGATCCTTGTACATAAAATATATACATCATCTGTTACTGAAGCATGGTTGTCACACCCAGATTGTAGCATAGTAGGGCAGCATGTTTCTGAAGCCACTTCTGGTGCTGCCACAAGCTGTGTGCTCTTGTCTTGAACATTGTACATACATATCCTCAACGTCCACCTTGTTATTATCAGGTAACTTCCTTCTAGGAGGTCAAACCAGTTTCCATGGAAACAACATAATTATCAAACCATGAAAATAGAACATTGAGACATTCATTTCTAGAATTCTTTGGAGTATCCTGAAAACTCATCCAGTTAGGAAGTGAAAGTGATAGAATTGGTGTGGTCCTGAGGGGAGGGATTCAATGGAGACACCCCATTTAGGGCCAAGTGTTCCAAGGTCTCTTACTCTGTGCATAATGTCTGGCTGTGGTCTCTGTATTCCCATCTGCTTCAGGAGGAAGCTTCTGAGGATGGGCGTGAGAGACACTGATGTACGAGTGTAGCAGAATGTTGTCGGGAGTCATATTATTGGTAGATATTTTTCTTTTTTCTTCTTTATTTTAGTTTTAGCAGAACAGTAGTATTTGGCTTTACCCCAGGTCCCTGGATGGTCTAGTCTTAGGTTCTTGGCCACCCAACCATTGCTGGCTGTAGGTTCCTTCTCATGGTCTCAGCCTTAAATCAGATCCTGCTTGGTTACTTTCACAAGCTTTGTTCCACTGTTGCACCAGCAGATCTTGTAGGCAGGTAATCATGGTAGAGCAAAGGGTTTGCAGCTAGGTTGGTGTTTACCTTTCTCCTCTGGTATTGTTCCTTCCAGTACCATGAATATTAGTTTGTAGGAATGAAGGCTTTAGCTAGCCACCAGCTCACCTTTTCTGTTCAATGAATCGTATAGGTGTTGTTGTCAGCAATAGGCTCTTACTGTCAGTTGGTGTAGAACAACCAATAACCTTGGCCATAGCCTGGGTTGTTTGTGGGTTCCCATAAAGACTTGGACCATTCCTAGTTTGTTTTTATTGTTTCCTGTTTGAGGTATAAGATGTTAGCTCTGGGCTCCCTACTCCATATGCCTGCCTGCTACCATGCTTCCCTGCAATGATGGTGAAGGACTGTTACTCCCCCGGGACCACAAATCCCACTAAGCCCTTTGTTCTAGAAGCTGTCTTAGTTACGATGATCACAACAACACAATAGTACATAGTTAAATGAGAGACATGGGAATGCAGTGCAGAAGAATGTTTTGAAGGGCAAGAGAATAGAGGGAGAGTTAGAAAAAGGCAAGGAAAAAAAAGATTTCGAGTCAAAGGAGTTCCAACTAAATTCAATAAATGTAAGAAAGGGAACGGCAACCAAGTAAAAAATATGAGAGGATTTCTAAAAGACCATGTTGTAAATTCACAATCCCACTAAAAGCAGAACATGACATGAAAGGAAGCAAGAAGCACAACAAACAAACAAAAATTAAATTGCAGAGAAGAAAACCTTAGCAATAACGTTGTATAAATTAAATTAGATGAATATATGAAGAGTTAAAAATCTTTTAAAATTTTAAAATTTACAATAAGATTAAAATCCCGGTATGTGTGCAGGAGGGGGGGGGGAGAGGGATAGGAGAGAATATGAGTCTTGAATAGTCAAAAGAAACAGAAGAGAGAAAAGCATTCTGGGGCAGGTAGGGAGGCAGGATCAGGAGAAGTATAACATTTGTCTTTTCTATGATTTTTGATGTTGCAGAATCTAGAGCTGTATACACGGGCTGGACTGAGTGTGGCAGATGTGCGGCTTGGTCTTCATGCAGAACCAGCTACAATTGGAGCAGAGGCTGTCCCTGTCTCTGTTGTTACCTGTGGATCCCGTTCTCCTAATTGACCCATCTTGTCTGGTCTCAGTGGGAAAGGATACACCTAGTCAGGCAGTGAATCCTGTTAGGGAGGGTTGGTACCTAGGGCAGGAAACCTCTTGCTTTTGTCTTAGGGCGAACTGGGAGGACGGTGTGTGTGTGTGTGTGTGTGTGTGTGTGTGTGTGTGTGTGTGTGTG